AAACAGTACTTTATAACAGGAAAATATTAAGTCAGAGCAATACAAATGGTCATTTTTTTTTTTTTTTTTTTTTTTTCTTTAGTGTGATTTCTTTTGTTTTTATGCATTATCTCCCTTCAGTTTATATATCGATTTCAAAGCTATGCACTTATTCTTTTGGGTGTTTGAATTTCTTTTTAATTTTGTCCTTTAAAAAGTATCAAAACAAAGATGAATAAATATGATTTTTGTGATCTTATATTCTATGAAATCAAACTTGTACTACTGAAGACACCCAATACATCAGCAGTGCTTGGGGATGGAGTCAGCTTCAGAACAGAATGGGTATCATTGATTGCAAAAATTCTTTCCACCATTTGACAATGAAGAATTGAGAGCAGCTATGGATGTTCGTACAGAAATAGATACTCAGGCATAAGGAGAAAAGCTGAATGTAACCCATACAACAATCGGAAGACATTTGAAAGAAATCAACAAAATGAAGAAAATGCAAAAGTGGGTACGCTCTCAGGATTTGAGTGATGATCAGCAGCTTGATCACAGGTGGTTACTGTTGATGAAAAGTGGCTGCTTTATGATAATTAGCAACATGTATGACTTCCTTACCCTTCAAACCAAACCAGATTTTGTAATGATACTTTATGTAATCTGGTCAGGTCATCATGGCAGATTTTTATTGTTATGATTTGGATCTGATGTATCAAATGCTGCAAACATTTTGACCAGCACTAATAATCCTATCCTATTACAGAATAAGCAAGACCTCATACTTCACAAACCACCTGGCAAAAACTGATGCAGCTAGGCATTGATATAATCTAATGTACATTAAGAAACACTTTTATTCATAGAGGATTTACTTGTTAAGCAAGCGAAGGGATTGAGAAAGCTTGACATCATACGTAGCAAGAAACTTCAAAAGAAACAGGTATTTTGAAACATGCAACTCCATAAAGAATATTTTATTCGCAGCACCTCACATCATTGGAATGGAATAGATGACCATTTTGAACTACAAACATAAAACATATTAACTTGACTCAACTTTTTTTTTTATTAAAGTTCACCCAATACAAGGCCTAAGAGCCACTCAAGGTAGATGGTTACTGAATGAGGTATGTGATATGAATCTAAGGGAAGTAGGAAGTGAAGATTACAATTATATGGTAGTGAATGAGGACAATTCAACCATGTTGATGTAACAACTATATTAGTGTAAAAAAAAAGCACTAATATATATATATATATATATATATATATATATATATATATATATATATATATATATATATATAAAGTATAGGATTGGTGTATATGGAATGAATTCCAATAACCAACAATTACTATTCTTAAAAGAGTGCTCAATACAAAGTAGAGCAGATATAATTATTTATTTAAATTTCTTCTTTTCTCCTCAGTAATTTTATAGTTTTAAACTTAATAGCCATTAAATTTGGATTTTAAAATTGGCAGTTTTTAATTTTAATATCAAATTTTATCATATAATTTAATAATTATTGGTTAGAATAAATTCTTTTTTAATATTACCCGTATTTTAAAGATCTGAATAGCTATTATAACATGACTTCGTTGTCAAGCTTTTTGAATTTTCCTATACTTGTATTTTGATTGGTCATTCTAGCTTTTGTAACGTTTTCCCCTTGGGGATCATTCGTTAATTTGAAACTTTTAAAACCATTTATTTTACATTCAACATCATCACTTGATAAGACACCTGGGGTGTTGAAACAAAATGGCTATTTTTGTAGTGATTTTATAACATATTTGTTATGAACTTTTTTTAAATAAATATATATATATATATATATTTAAGTCGTTCTGCACTGATTGCTGGTAACATCTTATGAATATTCTATCAAATCAGACACTTGCTATTATTATATATATATTTAGATATATTTTTGCTTATTTACTTAAAAATTGACCTACTTATAAAATCTAGTAGATAGTCTAAATTAAATAAGAAACTATCACAAATAAAATATATCTTTAAACAATAATATTTTCACCATGTAAAAAAAAAAAATATAGAGACAGCATGCAATAGAACAAGTGCATCACTTGGTATCGGTTCAGACCTACTTTTTAAAAACTTTTCCTCTTATTATTATTTTTGTTTCCATTTTCTTTTGATTTAAATATAAATCTGCTTGTTTCTGATTCAAGAGAATAGAGTATAAAAGCAAACTAAATCAAATCTGATAACTTTCTCCTACACAGAAAACACACACACACACACATATATATATGAGAGAGAGGGGGGCAGATAGGTTTTTATATACAAAATGTTGGTAAACACCAAGTTTGAATTTGGCGGAGAAAAACAGTATCCATATAGATTGAACTAAAATTTAAATCATGTCCAACCTTCTTCCCGTCCCTTGGTTTAAACTCTAAAAGAATATTATTTGACTACTAAAGCATCTAGTTGTGACTGTACTTTTAAACAGATACTTATATCAATTAACAGATATAGTTACTGACTGATTCAATAGTGTGGCTGCTTACATCATACTGCAGGCTGGACATTCAAGAATCAATATTTAGTAATATATCTGCTCTACTGCTATTTGTTTGTGGACACTAGAACCTGAAACTGAATTACGCAGAAGATTCCTGTTATCATGCTTGGTTAGTTTCTTTATTTTATAGGTACCAGTTGGAATTACATGTCACCCACCTACTTTTGGATTATCTATTTTGTAGTACTAAAAATTCTGTAGAATGTATTTGTTGCCATTAATATTTCAATTGTGGTGTTTTTTTCTTTTTCTCTATTGAATTTCTTTTCCTATTCTAATGAACTTTTTGCTTTCAATATGAAAGTAACTAACAAAAAAAAATACTAAGCATGATACTTTTTTTTTTTTTTTTAAGTCTGTCGTTTCCTCTTTAAACCTTCATAATATATGGCTCTTTTCTTTTTTATGGAAGATGATTGTTTTATTAGTTAAATACATTAAAACCATCATCATTTCATATTTGAGAAACATTCAGTCACAAGTATTTAGTTACTCATTAATTAGATAAATGGTGTTGTCAGTGATTATTAAAAGATGAAATATTGTTTATATTTAGTAACTGTTTCTATCAGGCAAATGAGTTAAGAAAGCAGAACATATATATTGAAGTAGAATTTTTATATTAATGTCTGGAAATTTTGTTAACTCTCAGATTGAAGTTACCAGAACTTTTTGGATACTAGTTAGAGATTTGGGTTTTTTAAAAAGGGTGTTGAAATCATAAAATAAATAAAAAAAAAAAAAACAATCATTTGTAGTTTGCTATCTATTGTTGTGAATTTTTTCATGCTCTCGTTTAGTATCTTATGTTAACTTTTCTTTATCATTTTGTATGATTCCAATTTATTAAAATTTCTAACCATTTATATACAGTTTGGTATTTTATGTAATTATCAACTTCTTAATGTAAAATTTATTAATTCTGCATTCGTTACTTCATATAATTATAGAACTTTGTCTTCATTCTAAAATTCCATAACTATGCCTTCATGTCGAGTTGGTGAGTTTCATTACCAAATGCATACCAAGAAGAAAAAAAATGAATTCAAGTTTGGTTAAAAAAAAAACACATACCTCTTCCTCAATATTTACTTTTCTATTTGAAAAATATAATTTCTTGTAACATAAATTCTACATATTCATTGTTACTACAGTTTCTAATATGGAATGATTAGCCAAGTTTATTAAAATGTCAACAGGAAAATAGTATACAAAATTTGAAAGAAATATTATTCTCTTGTCGACAAATAATGTACTTGTAAAAATTTCAGTGCTTAAGTATAGGAACATGGTTTTATAATGATCCCAAAGTTCATGCTATGTTTTATTCAAAAACTCAAGATTTTTATCATTTTATTATATAAAACTTGGAATAATAATGACAAAAAAAAATAGGAAAGATTTTTTTTTCTTTTATAGTTTGAGCCAATACCATTATTTTTGACATTTCTTTAATAACTTCAAGGAAATTTCACTCTTTACCTAGATAAAAAAAATAGTTACAGTTAAATGTTTCCTTAATGAAATAACTATCAATTAAATCATCAAGCTACAATTTTCTTGTTTTTTAGATACTTTAACGAAAACAATATTGGTGCCAACACATGAGACCAACACTTAACATGGAGATAGTTGGTTGATATTAAATACATATTTGATTTATTGCTTAAGGTATTCTTCATATTAAATAACACTTTCCCTTTACAATATGAAATGGATAACAATCTGATTTTTTTTTACTTTCTAATTGAGAAATATAAGAAAAAACTGCTTAAATAATCAGCAGAAACATTATAATAGAAATTTAAAATTTATTTCTTTGTCCAAGAATCAATAGGAGTGTAAGGATTGCAAGAAATTAAAAAGTAATATGGCATCTAATTACATTTATGAAAGTTTTGTATTGAATACTAATTTTAAATTGTTATAAGAGCAACTAATTGTTGAGGGGAGGAAAAAGAGTATAAAAAAAGTATGTTGAACCACACACAGATGCTGAAAATTACTCAATTTGACCAAGAAACCTTCTCCCCCCCCCACAAATTCTGTCCCATCAATTAGTCAGATTTTGGAAAGTTGGTCAGGCTGACAACTTTTCAGTACATCTTGTATAAAAAATGTTGCATTCAAATTTCAATATGAAATACAAATTATCCTTCATATATATATATATATATATATATATATTATATATAAATTATACTTATACTCAGTTGGTATGTAAAAAAACAAAAAAACATATAACACAATTTGCAAATAAAAATATATTAAAACAAATAGGCTGGTAAAAAAAATTGTCAAAAAAGAAAGGACTAAAAACATCCAAGTAGGCCAAAAAAATTGTCCAGTGGCATAATTTCTAGTCCAAAGAAAAAAACCCAGCCGAGTAAATAAGAAAAACGAATTTTTATATAATTATATATATATATATATTTTTTTTTTTTTTCCTTTCTGCAGGTGTTAAAAGGTGGTTAGTCCGTCAAAGAGATCAACTTCAGCAGCAACTGCTAACAATGGCTAACAACCTGGAGTTAAATGATAACAGTGAAGTTGGAGTTTGTCCATTATCTAATATTGAAGTTAACTCAACCAACTACCAAATGGAATTAAATGCTAATCAGCATGACAATGTACAAAATCTCATTCAGTTAAGCAGAGACAGTTCAGTGCTGAGAAATAACAATGATTGTTCTCAGTCAGCAAGTTTTGAAACAGACTATGATAAATGCACTCACCGCCGGACTTGCTTGATGTCTGGGTTTGGTCCTGATCCAGGTGAACCTCCACAGAAACGTCTGAAAATATCCTGCCAGCAGTATGCTTCACTCAAGAATGTCAGCATTGGAGATGGAGAAGTCAGTCGACGAAGACTTCCAAAGTAAGTCAAATTCCTTGTGATAGCAGTTAAAACTCAATTGCATTAGCTTAAAAAATGTTTGTTCTTCATCAGTCTGTCATTAGTTTGTCAAAATATTTTAATAAGTAATAATTTAGGATATTAGTATGAATAACTGTAAATAATAATAATCTGAATAAATAATTTTGTATATTATCAACACCTTTTATATGAAATTTCTCAGTTTTACATTCATGGTCATAATACATTAGTAAAGCAGTTACCTGAAGTTTAAATTATAATCATATTCTTCTATGTGCTGTGTCCTTTCTGGATATGAACAGCCATGGCTCTCTACAATTTCCTATTCTTTAAAGCTCTTAATAAAGTCTGTTTTTTTATGCTATCTCTGCTAATCTATGTTCTGCCAAATATTTACACAAGCTTGGTCATGTGTTGCTTTCCTCTGTCTTTCTTGCATTCAATATGTCCTAATTATGTGCCCTAAAAATTTCAATTCTTTCTAATGCTATGTGACATTTTTGTTTTCATTTTCTCTAAAACTTCCTCATTGCTCACATGTTCTGTCCATGGTATTCTCAATATCCTTCTGTAGATCCACATTTCTCTTTCCTCAAGTTTCTTCTGAGAGGAGATTGTCCAGCATTCACTGCTATATAGAAAGACCAATATTACATAACAGCTCAGTACTCTTTTGTTTGTTTCTAACAAAATTTTCCTGTTTCTTAATACTTTCCTTAGCTTTTGGAAGGAACTTTAGATTTCGATGTCACATTTTCCATTATCTGTTAAAACACTTCCTAGATATTTAAATTTTTGTGCTTGCTTAATTTTGATGTCCCCAATATATAGTTATATCTTGGGTTATCCTTTTGCTGACAAGCATGCATTCTGTCATCTTACAATTGATGGTTAGTCCTTTCTTCTTGCTTTCCTTTACTACCTTTTTATAGGAGTTCCTCTAATTTCCTTTCTATGTCTGCTGTCAACACAGTATCATCTGCATATCTTATGTTGTTAAGATTATGGCCACCAATAATGAATCCTGGTAGGATTTCTAATTCACTCAGAATCACCTCACTGTAAAGGTAGAATAACTCTGCTAAAAAGATACATCCTTGTTTTACCCTCCCCCCTTTCTATTTTTGTATATTTATTGAATTTATATTCTTATCCATATGCAGGCAGTTTGTTCCCTGTACAAGTTCTGGATGATTCTAATATCCTTCTCATTTAGTAGTTCAAGCAGTTATTTCTGATCTACTTAATCAAATGCTTTTGCATAATCTATAACACTTAGGTATACAACCTTTTGTTTTTGTATTGATCTTTTACATATAATTCTGAACAGAATATTGCATTTTTGTTCCAGTGTCCTAACAAAACCAAACTGTTCCTGTCCTATTTCCAGTCTAATTTTGCTACACACTAGATTTGAATCAGAATTTGAATCATAAGTTTTATTATATGACTCATCAGGCTGATTGTTCATTTATTTGCACCTGGCTTTAGGCAGCCCTATGAAAATATCTATACATAGGTCATCCAGTATATCACCACTGCTGTACATTTTATTTATTATGTTTGCAATTTTGTCAATACCAAAATCATCTAAAGGTGCCATCATTTCTATTACAATTATGTTTGGTCCTGATGCTTTCTTCATGTTTATTTTGATCAGTGCTGATTTCACTTCAGATTTTATTTCTGGCCCTTCCATATTTTTGTGTATTGCAGGTTTTCCTCTTTCTTCACGGAAGTTTTCTCCAAAGTATTCATTCCATCTTTCATGTAATTTTTCTTTTTCTATTCTTAGCATTCCCTCTTTTGACCTTAGGCTTTTTGTTGAATACCACATCTTTTGTCTGGTTATTTCGCTTATTCTGTTATGCATATATTCTTTATTTGTGTTGCTCATTCTTTCTCCAGCACATTTTCCATTGAGCCATTCATATTTTACCTATCTGCATTTGTTTTTAATTTCTTTATGCATTGTCCTATATTCTCTGCTATACCTTGGCATTGTTTGCTGTCTCCTTTTCAACATGTTTTGCCTTGTCTAGTTTTGTTTGGGATGATCTCATTTGCTGATATTATTAAAGCTTCTCCTAATGTGTCTTACTTTGAATTTCCATTCTCATTTAATCATTGTATCTGCTTTTAACAATGTCTGTATACAGTTCATTCAAATTCAGATTATTCAAGAGTTTATCATATTGCAATTTGGCTGTTGCCTTGGTTCGCTTCAACTTTCATAGTTTCACTTGACAAAGAAAAACATCAATAAAACTTGGCTTTCATGTTTTTCTTTACCCAACATGTTTCCTTTCTCTTATGTGATGTTTACTTAAAGATGGTAGTTTGATTGCTTTTGTGTCTTTGACCAACATTTTTAATATCCTGCATCTTTTTTCTCTATTTGCACTTACAATACCAGTTTCTATAAATATTTTCAATCTACTTTTTGTTTGTTTTCCTTTGAAATTCTCTCAAATCTCGTTTTGTGACATTATTAAAATCAGTTTTTTTTTCTTATTATTTTACTCATGTTTTCAACTTCTTTTTTATTCTTTGATCTCTGTTCAATTAATCCTAAATTGTGTTTCTGTCACCCAATAATTTAATAATATTTTGTTTCTCTTTTGAGGTTTATCTGAAATTTAAAAAATAGATATCCATATTAAAAATATGATACTGAATATACATATTTATTTACAATATGAGTTACATGATAAAATCTCACACCACAAAATAAGTTATTGTGAGTATTTCTAGTAAAAACTGATATTATCACCTGAAATTCACATGGTATATTTATCATACAAGTATATCCTGAAAAGTTTTACCAGCATTGATTGATTAATATCAGTTTTATTGTGAAAACATTGACTTAGATAATATCTAATACAGTGTGTGTGTGTGTGTGTGTATATATATATATACATACATACATTTTTTTTTAAAGCTTGTACAAAAATTTATAAATATATAAAATTTACTTGACAAATAAAATTCCACAAGGTACAATTAACATTAGGTATTTGTTAACCACATTTTGTCTTAATTTCAGGTTGCTATGCGATTTCACACTAAACCAAGTATATTGAAGAATGCACATATTACCAATTTCAAAGAGCTACAATGCAGCCTGACTGATATTCTTCCAGATATTTCCTGAGTTAGTTAAATTATGCTAAATGCAAGATGCCACTGAAAGCAATGAACTCTTGATTGCACCTCAATCTCGAGTAGAATTGTGCCTTCACTTTTTGAGCAGTTCTCCTTTTTCTGTTTTTCAAAACATTTTTTTTTCATTTACTTTTCTCCTCATTACACTTCTCTTTCAACAAAATGAAAATGAACAAAACATTTATCCTTTGACATGTGCCAACATTTCCACACATGAAATAAGAACCAAATAACAAGAAAGAAAACAGAAATATTTATACAAATTTTACACTTGAAATTCCACACAATCTATCTGAAACAGAATGTCTTGACTTTGCTAAAAAATGCATAATATCTGTGATTCCTTTTAGCTGTCTTGGAGGTTTGTAAAACAGAGACTGACATTTTTATTTTATTTTGGAAAATTTTTTACTTGTCCACCTCTTTTCAACTCATATTTGTTGAATTTACAAACTATTGACAAGATCCTGAATAATAAAGAATTTTTTAAAAAAATTTTAAATTTGCATGCTCTATTTTTTTTTTTTTTTTTCCATTTATTTTGTACCCTAAAATGCTTATGCATTGTTTTAAAAAAGAAATTTTGTTACATTAACAGAATTAATAATATGCAGGATCTTTTGTAAATTCCACTGTACATCCATTCAATTTAAGTATAAAATAATTCATATATTTAAATAGTAGAGAAAAATAAGAAATATTATTAAATACATTTTGATAAACATTATTATTATTAGATAGAAGTTTCTGAGATGAGGTATTAATACTATTATACATTGATTCATTTGGATCAGTTTCTTTATATTTGTAGTTGCTATTGCAATGATTTGGATACTACTCGCCAGCCTCCCTCAGAAGCCTAGAATTCTATAACCATCTGGGAATATCAAATATAACCCTTTATTTAGCATCCATACCATTCTCATCTCTATATATGTCATGTCCAGTGCTATTTCTGGGAAATTCCAGAACTGTAAAATTCCTATCTATATTTCTGAGACAAGGTATTGTAATTATTTACACTATTTACATTGTTCAGACTGTTGTCCCCATCTTAGTTGTGGTATTCACAGCATTTCAGCCGTTGTACACTCTGGCCTTCTTCAGGTGATTGGAATTTTGAAATGTACACCAGGATAAATTGTTCTAGTTCCACCCATCCCATCAGAGCTTCTTCCAGATGTCACTGGATCCAACCAATGCTTTTATCCACCAGGTCAAGTACACATGACCCAGTGGATAAAAGCATTGGCTGGATACAGTGACTTGACCCAATGTGTTGTGAGTGCAATACCTGGCTACTGCAGTGGTGAACAAAAACTTGGAGAATTGAGTTAAAGAGAGATAACTGAGACATCCAGAAAAGGCATGGCCCATGGAACTAGATAAATCTACTCCAGTAGACAAAATAAAGGGTTCAGTTTGAAATTCCAATCACCTGTTGAAGGTTAGAGCATACGATGGCTGAAACATTGTGAATATGACAACAAAGATGAGGTCAACAGTCCGAACAATGTAAATAATTATGTAAAATTCTCATTTATTCAGGAAAAGGCTCCAAAATACACAGCTAGTAACTGTGATTAAATAGTTGATGTTGCCAGTTACAAGTATGCAATAATTATATATATATAGACTAACACACAAATATTTGGGAGACTATAAATTTCTATGTACCAGAACAGTGTTAGGCAATTGAATGACAAAGTGGACAATTCCAATGTAACCAATCATATTCACATGATATGTTTATCATACAAGTATATTGTGAACAATTTTACCAGCATTGATTGATCAATATCACTTTTATTGGGAAAACATTGACTTAGATACTAC